CTACTAGTACTACTACTACTACTATTACTCCTACTACTACTGCTCCTGCTTCTGCTCCTACTCCTGCTACTGCTATTGCTATTGCTACTACTACTCTTATTATTATAGTTACTATTACTACCACTACTACTACTACTACGACTGACTACTACTACTACTACTTCTGCTACTTCTACTACTTCTACTACTACTACTTCCTCTATTTCTTATATTTCTACTTTTTCTATTTCTACTACTACTTCTACTTCTACTACTACTACTACTTCTACTACTTCTACTTCTACTACTTCTACTACTACTACTGCTACTACTACTACTACTATTACTACTACCACTACTACTACTACTACTACTACTACTACTGCTATTGCTGCTCCTGCTGCTATTGTTGCTACCTATTGTTATTATTCTTGCTACTACTGCTACGGCTGCTACTGCTACTTCTACTATTGCTATTGCTACTACCACCACTATTGCTACTACTTCTTCTTCTGCTTCTATTGTTATTTGTTTTTTCTACTAGTATAAAATAAGTACATCGAACAATACTTGCTACTGGATGTTATCAAAGACCAAAAAGCTTGAGCCATTCCAATGCGATCTGCGTCCACAGGTTCAAGAAATGCATAGACCAACGCAAACAGGAATAACCACTCGTTGCAGAGCACAGAGGAGGAACCCATTACGCTCGGAGCGACCGCAGCCGCGCCCGCCGCACACGCGAGTTACCTTTCATCGCCGGCTGCAGCCACTTTATACGGAAAAATACTAGGTTTCGTGCTCCGGCGTCCTAGCCAAGATAAGTCAGATGCAATATTTATGCAGCCATTACGGTGTATTGTGCAGCGTTACGTAACAAATCTATATCTCTCTACGTACATGGCAACACCAGATGACAACAAGCATACAGCCATTCCAATGCCATCTGCAATTACAGACTCCAGAAATCTATAAACCTACACACACAGGAACAACCTCTCATTGCAGAACACAGAGGAGGAACCCATTATGCTCGGAAAGATAGCAGCCGCGCCCGCCGCACACGCGAGTTACCTTTCATCGCCGGCTGCAGCCACTTTATACGGAAAAATTTTAGGTTTCGTGCTCCGGCGTCCTAGCCAAGACAAACCAGATGCAATGTTTATGCAGTCATTACAGTGCATTGTGCAGTGTTACGTAATAAATCTATATTTCTCTACGCACATGGCAACACCAGATGACAACAAGCATAAAGCCATTCCAATGCCATCTGCAATTACAAACTCCAGTAATCTATAGACCTACGCACACAGGAACAACCTCTCATTGCAGAACACAGAGGAGGAACCCATTATGCTCGGAAAGATAGCAGCCGCGCCCGCCGCACACGCGAGTTACCTTTCATCGCCGGCTGCAGCCACTTTATACGGAAAAATACTAGGTTTCGTGCTCCGGCATCCTAGCCAAGACAAGCCAGATGCAATATTTATGCAGCCATTACAGAGTATTGTGCAGCGTCACGTAGCAAATCTATATCTTTCTATGTACATGGCAATACCAGATGACAACAAGCATACAGCCATTCCAATGTTATCTATAATTACAAACTCCAGAAATCTGTAGACCTACGCACACAG